CTTGCCACCACCATCAGTGGAAGCTGCCACCCAGTCAACCAACAGCGCCCTCTGCAGGACCTGTCCCAACCAGCGCGCCTGTAACCAACGCCCCCCCGGGTGCTCCAGTTTCCCCTAGCACTAAAAACATGACCTGAGAGTATAATCAGCTGGAGATGGGCCTCGAAGGTCCACACGCCCACTACTCCTGACAGACGCCCCAACAGCATTGGGCCAAATGCAGAGGACACATTTAGCTACGACGGAAATTCTACAAAAAAAAAAAAAACTAATACATCTCTTAAAGATTGAAGTTTAAAGGCGAAAAAACGTCCAGAATAACAATTTCTCAGCGTTTTAAGTTTAGTTGTGTTATTTATACACTCAAAGTAAGCAGTTCACGTATGTTTGAGCCCAAACTGCTGATCCTTATCTGTGGTTCAAGCCTTGAAATCACGTGTGAATAAAATCTATGTTGTGAACTAGTAAACAACAAGCAGCGTCCAAGGTTTTTCTCTTATCAGAGTCAGTCATAATACTGAGTTTCACTTTATTCAGAACTCAATCCGCTGTTCCAAGTTTCGTTTATGAAGAAAAGTAAAGTTAGAAATGATAAAACCCGGAAACTGTCAAAACAAGAGTGGACGCGCTGAAACCTTGGTATTTCGTCCTGGACAGAGGAAAAGATTGACATTTTGTTGGTAATATTTGAATTATGTTAGAATGGTAAAATTCAGGTTATGGTTTGGGATTTTAAACAGCTTGATTCATTTGTGGGTAAAGCATAGGCTAGCTAACCACAGGAGGACGAAAAGCCTAGATTCCCCCCCCCAAACACTCAGAACTTTACATTAGCTTTTAGACAAGCAAATGTTTATCTGTGACCATTACGTTGATATATTTATAATCATATAGTTATTTTTTTTTTTTAAATAAAATTTACAATATTGCAACAGTTTGTGTATTTAAATGTATTGAGGGTAGCAGAATTGCCATGACTGCTATGAAAAACGAGTTTAAAGCTTGTATTTTTCGCGTTGGTTGTGTCAAGTTTTATTTGATTTAAATACATTATCTGGAAGAAACGGCGGCTTTAAGAATCCTGCTTACGTTTTCATTTGAAGATAGTTTCTGGCGAAAACGAAACTCAACGTGTTTGTTTACACTCAGTTCAAGTTAAGCCCATATCTGAACAGGACTAGAACAGGACTAGACCTGGACGAGACCTGGATCGCATCTGGACCGGCCACCAGCAGCAGGTTCCATGGAATCCATTGAACGCGCCTGGTAAACTCCTAACACATTATTATTATTAGATTAGATTATTATTATTATTATTATTATTATTATTATATGAACAAATGAACAAATCAGACAACTAAATGCCGTCTTGTGAGCATAGACTGTATTATTGTGAGTCATTATTGTATATATATTTTTTTCACTTTTCTGTCTGAAAAAGCTGATAAAGACCATTTGGAAATATATTCTAAGCAATCATTTCAATGTATTTACGGTTAACAAGAGAGAAGAGAGATTAATTTAGAATATTTTCATGAAGCCAAAGTTCCTTTTATTGTTGAATAAAACAAATTTGAAGTATACGGAAGCTTGTTAGGTTCACTTGTGAGTGATATCATGTTATTTCATGATACTTTCATGAAATAACATGATAAATATCATGTTATTTCATGATACACAACTATTATGTTATTTCATGATACCAATTTATCAGAAGAAGCTGACAGCTTCTTCTTCTTCTGTATCTACAGCAGGCCCGTCGGAAGGGCTGTGCGACCTGTGCCGTCGCACAGGGCCTCGCACCACACAGGGGCCTCGCAATCTTCATTCCTTTTTTTATTTTTATAAATACAATAGTTCAAGGGTCCCCAAAGGGCAGACTGCGCTCCAAGTTTGGACCCCTAAACCAATTTCTCTGGACTTCTTTGATTTCGTTTAATCAAAAGACAATGTTTACAAGTAAAGTCAAATTTTCACCAAAAGCGATTTGTAAACAGGCAGGCGCGCGGGCAGCTATGTATGCAGCGGGTCCTCCGAAAAAACTTTACGGAGCTGTCAGATAACTTTAGCAGTGTCTGAGTGAGATACAAAGAAAGAACCGGGAATGATCGCAGTGTAGGAGAGATGGATACTCGCGGAGGAGGAGCAGTGAGACAGGTGTGAGCAGAGGAGCAGACCCCTTTGTGTGAGCAGTGGAGGAGGAGGAGGATCAGCGGTGTGACAGGTGTGTGAGCGCTGCTATTGCCAATGTTTAGTCCGAATATCCACATCAAAAACATATTTTTAAAAGCATTAGCAAACACACTGTATGTCTAGCTTTAGCGGCCACTGCGAGTGGAGTGGATTTTGGGCATAAAACGCTTTGTTATGGTCAGAGTGTGTGGAGGAGGAGGTGAAGAGTATGTTGTTGTGGTCAGTGTGGAGGAGGAGGAGAAGGAGCATATGTTGTCAGAGTGTGTGGATGCATGGCAAAAACGTTATTTGCCATGCATCCGGAGTCAATATAAATATATATATTGACTCCGCCTCATAGCCATTTTGGCGCATTTTGCCGAAATCTAACTATTAGAAGAAAAAGACTTTTGAGTTGCTGCCATTTTGCCACAGGACGAAAGAGCCATGTCAGCTAAAAAGACCGCGACCAATATCGCAATGCCAAGTGCCATAGTGTTTGTGTGTGCGTGTGTGCGTGCCCGCGCCCAACACTGCATAGGAGCGAAGACACTCGGCTACGCGCGTGCTGATCTCTTCACGCACCGCGCGAGGTGGTGCTGAATTCATGTCAAAGATTATAACAGGAAAAAATTTCCTCAGATCTGGGAAAAAAGTGTCAGGGCAGGGCCTCGCGTTTCGAGTTCGCACTGGGCCTCGCACCCCCCTTGTGACGGGCCTGATCTACAGTATCATGTTATTTCATGATAAACTGGTATCATGAAATGACATGATAAATTGGTATCTTGAAACATGATACCAGCGGAAAAAAAAACACTCACATGTGAACCTAACAAGCTTCCGTATTAGGCGGCATCAGGTCCCAGAGGACACCTCAAACCTCTGTGTGTTCCATTGATAAATACGATGTGATTTTCAGGGTTCTGCTGCTGCTCTTTGTGGCCGCTCCAGCTGGTGAGTTTCAGTCTATTTTTATTTTTTTTTAACTTTTTAAAGATATCCAACAGTGTCCAACAGCTACGACATAGTTTGCATTATAAAATGGTGGTTCTGACTAGGAACTTTGTCAGGATCCAGCATCAGCACATAAAGCCAAATAAATGCATTTCCCATGAATAATTTAAAGCTTCATTTTTTTACACAGGTAATTTTTCTATAAGCTTTGAATAATACTACAGAATTTATACACAACAATACAAACTCTGGAATCAAGGGCATGGAAAAAGTCAATTTGTCTTTGAGTTGAGTAGTTAATTTCAAGAAATCTGCTAATGTTTATATAAGTAAATAAACACATTTTGTTGAATTAAGGGCAATTTATCTTCAAGAATAAATATCACTTGTGTATAGATTACTCGCCCTTTTGGCATTAACAAATATGGTTTAGGGCTCTCTGTGATCCTGGTGTTTATATTGTATTATTGTCTTTGTAAATAAAGAAATAAGCTTTATTACGATTGACCATCAGATGCCTTCATTCAAGGGGCGGGGGACTCCAGCTTGTCTCAGCAACACATCTGTCCTGTTATGGCATGAAGCTATGGTTATCTGATTAAATGTCCAAATACATGTTATTTGAATATAAATCCACATAATAGTTTCTTCTTTAGAAGATTTTTTTTTCACAGTACAAATAAAAATAACACATTATAATAACACAAATGAGTTAAAAAAAAAAAAAACACTTGAACCATATGCATGCATTAACTTTTTAGTTTAGGCTGTATGAACGTATTTGAAACAATTGAGTTAGTCCGTAAAGCAAAGCCACACATCATATTTGTCACAATTCACAGACCAGCATGCAGTGTTGTCCGTGTGAACATCTGGACAGCTGGAAGTCCAATACCAGCTCTCTTGGGTGGCATCTGTGGCTTTTTGACACCAGTGAGTTAACAGTCACAGTGGTAGATCAGCGATGCATTGGCCTATTATATAGATCTATTATGATGGTTTGTCAGAACAGGTAGAGGTACCGTGTCCTTGACCTAATGTTGATCTGTTGCTGAAGAAGCTTGTGCACCAAATGTACTGAAGAAAAATAGTTATTTCAGAATCTTTTAGACACAAGGAGTGGAGTTACATGACAAGTGGATGGATCTAAACTGTGACTGATGAGGAACAATGTAGGAACATGGAGAAAAGAGAGAAAGTTGACTTTAATTGGCAAGCCTTTAATTGTTGCCTATTAAAGGCTTGCGACCCATCAGTTGAGAACCACTGGTCTAGATTACAAGGACTCTAAGCCAAAGCTCTTGGATATAGCTCTGTAACCCATGTGTAACCCATGTGTAACAGTGGTATTTTTCTCCTCAGCCTCCTCCAGCCTGCCCTCTGGTTCCTCCTCCTTCTCCTCTCCCTCCGTGGTGGTGGCTCTCGTGGGCTCAGAGGCTCTCCTTCCCTGCTCCTGGCTCCAGCCTGGGCCCCATGTGCAGTGGAGCTCTGAGTCTTCTGGTCCAGTCCTGGAGCAGAGGTGAGGAGGTTTTTTAAGATCTCGCTGTCAGAGTTTGAGCTGGTGCATGGGCTACTCTCTAATCTGTATTGCTCCACGTGGATGAGAGACTTGCCATAGCCCATTTTAATCTGGAACAGTGGGAAGTTTGTTTTGACCCTTTTACCGTATTCCCCATGATGAAAACCCAACAGGGGTCAAAACAACACAGCATTTGACACAGGTCAAAAAACATAGGTCTGCAGTGTGAAGATTAAGAATGTTGCTGAAAGTCCTGCTTCTATAAAATCCATTTCCACTTGTACAAATGTGTTTTGTGTATCTTGTGTAGAGGGTCAGAGCGCTGGTCCAGTCCGGATCTGTCAGAACGGGTCCTGGTCCCAGAGTCCGGGCTTCAGACTGGAGATTGCTCTCTGCTCATCAGTGACGTGCAAGTTACTGATGCAGGACAATACAACGCTTATGTGATCCAGGAACGAGACCAGAGCCGGACCAGAGACCAGACTGAGGCCAGGACTGAGGCCAGAACTGAGATCAGGACTGGGTCCAGGACTGACAATGGGGTCTTCATCTGCAGTGTGAAGCTCCTGGTTTTTGGTCAGTCCAGATATAGTCCTGCTTTAGATCTGCTTTGGTCCTGATTCAGTCCTGCTTTAGTCCTGCTTATTTCTTTCACTCTCTGTTTCAGACCACAGCTTGGTGGAGTCCAAACGTCCAGGTGAAGACCTCCTCTTGGACCTCTTCTCTCCGCACTCTATGAGTCTTGTGTTCCATGGCAGGTTTGTACTTTATATTACCTCTGATATTATTACAGCAGTCCAGAAAGTCCAGAGAGATTTCAAAAAGATTCCAGAAAGATTCCAGAGAGATTCCAGAGAGATTCCAGAGTGATACAAGAGAGTGTACAGAGAGATACCAGAGAGTGTGCAGAGAAAGACATAAGAAAGACTAGAGAGAGAACAGAGAATACAGAGAGATCAGAGAGGGACCAGAGAGAGAAAGAGACAGAAAGATATCAGATAGACCAAAGAAATTAGCGTGAGAGCAGAGAACTCCGGCCCATTGTGGCTCCTCTCTCCTCAGTGACCCTTCCTCTTTCCTCAGTAACTTCTCCTCGTGGCACATGCTATGGAGGAGAGGTGCTTTAGTCTCTCCTCGTGTTCAGAAAGTCCCCCTGAAGCAGCAGCTGCGTCTCCTATCGGTGACTGAGGCCGATCGTGGCGTTTACAAAGTCCTGGACCAGAACGGGCTGACTGTCAGCTCCACCCGCCTGTCTGTGCAGAGAGGTGAGCCTGCCTTTCACAACAGGGTCAGCTCCACACATTTAAATCTGAAGAGACCAAGACAGAAACATTAATGCATGAAAAAGATTTATGTAGATGATCTCAGACCCCCCGGGGTCAAGCACTGGTGGTGGCTAGAAGCATGGTGTGAATGGAGCGCAGGAGCCGGAGCAGGAGCCAGAGCAGGAGCCAGAGCAGGAGCCAGAGCAGGAACCAGAGCAGAAGCCAGAGCAGGGACCAGGGCAGGAGCTGAGGAGGCGCTGGGGAGGTGGTGGGTGTTAAGAGCTTCAGGAAGAGCTATTAATTGGGGAGTGGCTGCTTTTAAACTGCCCGCTTTGCTTTCAGTGGGTTGACAAGGGGCTGGCTGGGCTGTGTGATTGGCAGAGGCTCGAGGCTGGCAGTGCTGTGCGATTGGCAGGCCCTAGCGGGCCCTGTACGGGTGAGAGCCGTGGCCGGTCTTTCAGTCTGAATCTGCGCGTTCAGCTTCATGTCTGTGCAGAGGGAGAGCCCGCACTCACGCCAGGTTCAGCTCTACAAGCGTGTCTCCCCCTGACTTCCACCTGATGAACTGGTGCTGGCTGTTTGTGCACAGTCACAAACAGCCAGGTAGTGTGTATGCTGGGGTAGTGTATATGCTCACATCTGGAGATGATGCTTCAGGACTTTGGACACTGTATTTCAACCTAATGTCTCTGTGCATTGTCCATTCAAATAAAAACTAAACTAACTCCAGGCGAACATGATTCTTCAGGTTCTGATGTAAACTTTTAGTTTAAAGAGGCCAGAAGACCGTGGGGAATCTTTTCATTCAATCTTAATTTCTTCGGTCTTTTGTCAACTGCCAACAGTGACACAGGTTTGTGTCTCATGGTCAAAAAGAACTGTGTTGTTGCTGCTGTGTGTCACAGGAGTAGAGTAGAGCCATGTAGAAAACATCAGAGTCGAGCAGAGTAGAGTAGGGCTGGTGGAAACGGGCCTACTGGGTCAACCTCTGTATTAGACGCAGCTCGAGCAGATTGTCTGTTTGCTCTGATGTTGTAAAAGGCTGTAGATTTAAACTGGTTCATATAACATAATAACAAACACAGGACGTCCCTCTCAGGTGCTACCAGATGATTGGATCAGCCACATGATTACAAGTAAACTGAACTACTTCTTTAAAAGATTGTGTCTAAACGTTTATCTTGTTTTCTGCAGATCCCATGGTTCTGAGGTCCACACATGAAACTGATGTGAGAGGTTGGTTCACACATTTCAGTGATCTTGTTGAAACCTCATGTTCAAACTGGGTTGTGTTTGCAGGTCGTGCTTTGGGAATGCTCCCATCCGCTCTGCTCCTCACCTGCTCCCTACTGACCTCCTCCCTACTCACCTCCTCTTCCTCTGACTCTAAAGTGGTTATCTATAAAAACTCAAACTCAAACTAAACTGGAGAAGTAGACGTCTTTTCAATTCCATTTATTTGTGTATTGCTCTAAATAACAACACCTGTCGTCTAAGAGGAACAATTCATCAAACACAGGAAATAGAATAATAACAAACAGGAGCCATTAGGATGATCACTGTCCATGTTAAAAAATTTCCTTACATGTCCCAGATCATTGTCCTTAGACCCTGCTGCATCTGCATGGAACCACTCAGTCAGGCTGTAGATCCAGGACTGAGACTATGGAGTAGAGGTGTCAAACCCATCCTCAAAGGGCCGGTGTGGCTACAGATTTGAGTGGAATATGTGTGCTCCTGGGCGACAGTAGCTCAGTTGGTAGAGCATTGGCCTTAAGGCCAGAAGGTCGTGGGTTCAATTCCCACCTCTGCACCTTCTCCATCGACTCCCACTGATGACTGCTGTCGTTGTGTCCTTGGGCAAGACACTTAACTCCACTTTGCCCAAAGCCCCCCCTGAAAGATCAAGGCTATGCTCACACTCAGAGAGCAGCCGTCCTCCTGTGGACTCACCACCTGCAGAGGGTCAGTGAGGGGCTGGTGCTATGAGACTTGGGTGGCATCTCTGACTGCCACCCCCCTGACCCAGAAATGGATTAAAGGGTAGAAAATGGATGGATGGATGGATGGATGGATGTGTGCTCCTGCTCAGGTTAGAACTAAAACCAGCAGCCACACTGGCCTTTGAGGACTGGTTTGACACCCCTGCTATAGAGCCTGAACTGAGAATATAGATCCTGGACTGAGACTATAGATCCTGGACTGAGACTATACAGTAGATCCTGGATGGAGACTATAGATATAGGACTGCAGACTTTTGGACTGAGGCTGTAGATCCAGGACTGAGGCTGTATTATGAGATCAGAAGCCTCATTAGTAGTCTCGCTCAGGTTCAGGAGGAACCATTGGCCTCCGCTTTAGAAGCCAAAAAGGTCTTCATTTCACCCTTGAATGTGGTGTCATCGGGTAGATGCCATTTACAATGTGTGTGAAAGCGGCTTCACACTTTCAGTTTCACAAGTCATGGACAGCCATCTTTGGTTAGAATACTGCTTTGGACAACTTTAACTCACTGACTGCCAGGCATTTTCAGATTTGAGAAGTGCATTCTGCCAGCAATTTCAGGTGATTTGACCCAACTTTGAAGTGCCACAGAATATTCATTTTTTAGACAATGTAAACACCAAGGGCACCAAATTAAAGATTCACCTCTCTGCTTTACTCTGAAAAAAACAGTTTGTTTCTACCTCTTACCGTTCTTGCGTTATTCGCCATAGAACAAAGCATACTTTCACCCATAACACCTGGTCTGAGCAAGAAAACAGAGAAAACGAGCTGTATGTAAACAGGAACATATCAAGCAGAAAAGAGACTTTTAGATGCATTTTTGCTGCTTTAGTGACAACTCAAAACATCTTCACACTTGTTCCATTACAAAAAATATAAAAACATGACTCTGAAATAATACTTTTGATGGCAAATTGCAATTGCAATTTATTCACAGATAGAAAATTTAACTTTCTTCTATACCATCAACCAAAACGTCAAACAACAACAACACAAAGATCAATAAAACTATAGATGTATAAAATAGAATGAAGCATGTGAATTTGAGTGTGTGTGTGTGTGACTGTCAGTGTGCGAGTGAGTGTCTGTGTGAGTGAGTGTCTGTGTGCGTGAGTGAGTGAGTGAGTGCGTGTGAGTGTTTGTGAGTGTGTCCGATAAATCATGATCAGGTTTGCTGAACGAATCCGAGGCATCAGTAACAACAGCAGCTGATACGCTGCGAGAGGCGGAGGGCGTGTCTCTGCTCGGGGCTCTTGCTCCGCGCAAATATGGCTGCAGAGACGGACCTCCACCGGGGTCTCCCCTCTCTCCCCTCTCGACCTCACTCACTGATCCGCGAGTCAATCTCTGAAGCAGTGTCAACTGCTTATAACTATTCTTTTTCTCCATCACTCTTGCTATACTATCGCTAAACTAGATCACTGATCCGTCTCAATGCTACAGCAGCACGCTCTGCTACAGCACCACGCTTTCTCACACTCCCACACTCCTCCTCCTTCTCTCCACTGACTTATGACCTCTCCTGTGGTGCAATACTGCATCCTACTGGTGGTGATTTATCATTACAGGTACATTTGTACTATATATCAGTGTTGTGGGTCATTCACAAGGTGCGCCAGACATTACTGCAGCCTCCCGTGTAATAACACGAAAAACTCGTCAAACTCGTCATGGGCAGTGAGCGTTACTATTCAACATGACGAGTTTTGTCGTCATGGGCAGTGAATGAGTTAAAAAGCTCTTGTTGTGTTTTGACAAAACAGAATGTGAATAGAGTGTGAGTTGTGTTGTTATAAATGTATTGGATCTAATTTCAGACCATGTTACACCATGTAACCTGTTGGCTTTTGTTCAAATCAACACTAAAATGAAGAGAATTCAGGTCTTTTCACCTCCGCAAAATTGTTATCACCAGGTTTAGCTTTTGATTTTTGATTTTAAGATCCATAAAGCATTGGGTAGAAACCTGCCTCATGACGGAGGTATGTGCTCCGTGTTTTTCTAGTCAATATTGAGCATAGCATGTAGACAGCTTTAAGAATGTTCGGATCTTCGGCCCTTTGGAAACATCAGAAGAATGACTTTCAGAAAGGTCTATTTTTGTGCTTCAGAATCAGAATTGGATTATTTTTATTGCCATAGTAACAGGAAGTCACAAACTGGGAATTGCCTCAAGTTGCAAACAAGTAAGAAGGCGTTCATATCATTTCTTTCACAGGCTAATTTAAATCATGGGCACCTAACTTTAGTTTAATAAATAACACATAGTTTTTATAATCAAAAGAGTCTTGTAAAAAATAAAATGTTGTGAACAAATGTCTAATGTCAAATGTCTACATGCTGTCTTCATCTAATGTGAATACATGCTATCTTTTGTGTAAGAAAGAGCCACAGTTTTGTATTACATGGTTCTATGGGTGTGGTTTGAAAGTTACGCACCCCAGCTTTTAGGCATGTTCAGTGGTTTGGTGGGTAGATACTGTATGTTTCTCGGTTGATGATATATTAACAAATGCTGGGGTAAATTTCCCAACTAACCCTATCCAGCTCTTAGCCCATCCCCCTCTTTAATTTGATGGAGACCGAATGTTGTGGTCTGATTGTAGTCTTTCTGTACAGATAAAGTTATGTTCCCAAGCTTTAATATTTCCTACGTGAATAGTCAAGTCTTGTCATGCAATTTTAGTTGTGATGTTTTTTAACGTGCCCGGTTTTCACAACCTTAGTGCAATTATAATAAGAAGTGTGTAAAATCACTTCAGTATGTGTTTGTGTCTGTGTGTGTGCATGTGTGTGTGTTAATGTTTGTGAGTGATCTTAGTGTGTTAAAAAAGAGGTTTTTGTGTAATTCTTATTGTTGTAATCATTAAATAAATCATTCTTTAACTTGTGAGAGTCTGGATGGGCCGTCACATGTCACACATGCAGCACTTTATGCTTTTAAGTAAGTATAAAACTAGTTCTTCACTTCTAGGGGAATTATATTAGATCCATGTTGTTTGAGGAGAGGAAGAGCCAGGTCTCTTTAGAAATGCAGATAAAACCACAGTTGCTGATACTCAGAAATTGCTCATACTCAGTCCTGCAAGATTTGAGCAAAGATATTATTATCCATCGATTAAATCCTACTATTTCAGTAACAGGAATTATTGATTAACCCATCAGGACCTCGATTGCTTTTATTTTTGTTCCTGGAGAGTTTTATAGAGTCAGATTATTGAAGATTTTAAAAGTTAGGAAGCAGGTTGTGCTTTTTTTAAAAGAGAAAATCAAACTGAACACAGGAAATAGAACAAGAAAACCCATAGGAGCCATTAGGAGGGAGAGGGGAGACCAGCATCTTGTTTAGTATGCTCCTGATCCACCCTCGTGAAGTGTTCTTCAGGTCTTTTCTTTCTGCTGACCCTGACGACAATCCTCTGTAAATAGTAAATTCCATAAACATTGCTAGAATGTGCAATATAGCACTATAAGTGTCCACTTGTAATGTAAACAGAGCAAATATGATAAATATAGATAATCAAAGTAACTATAAATCTTAAGAGAACAAAGGTCAGGCACTCTGTTTTGGTGAAAAAATTAAAAGTCCTTTAATGAATTGGACTGCCTACGCGTTTCAACCAACAGCGGTCTTCGTCAGGGCATAAATAATCACCAGCAGGTGAACCTCTTTTAAAAGCAAGGCTGTCACATGACAGGAAGAACATGTGACAGAAAATTTGACAGAACATTTTTGTGAAACAAAAAACACCAGTGTGACTCGATCATAGTGAAAAAACTATGTATAAATACATGGAGCTATACATTCAGACACATACGCACAAAGCGCCACAGGAAAAGAAGAGCGAGCAAGCATATAGATGAAGGCACCAACTGTAAAACACTGATATAACAAGAGCAGTGAAATGCCAGTTTATATTCTCATCAGTATACATTTTCAAACCGGATCACAAAACCACTGTCCATAACACATTATTCCAAACAACTACAAAAAACTACAAAAATGGGGTAAAGTCTAGTTCCTCATTTAGTCCAGGGTGATGCATAGCTCCAAGCGTATCTATCCAGTATGTCTCCCTCTGGAGCAGTTTTTTGAGTTTATCTCCTCCCCTGAGGTCCATTTTGATTGTCTCTATGACCATGATTTTGAGTCCATTGATGTTGATATGGCCCATAGTTTTAAAATGTTTGGCCAGCGGATAATCCAGATTCTGAGTTCTGATTGCATATTTATGTTCTGCAAACCTCTCTTTCAGCTTTCTCTTGGTACGTCCCACATAAAAGCCACCACATTCACAGTCAATTCTGTACACCACATATGTTGAGTTGCAGTTAGCAAAGCTAAGGCTTTTAAAGGTCTTCTCCTTTTTAGCATCGGTAAATGTAGTGCTCCGATTAATCTGTGGGCAATGTTTACAGGAACCACACATAAAAGTACCGGCTGGTTTTTTGAAGGAGAAGGCGAAAAACTGGAGCATTTTATCTTGTGACCATTCTCTGGGGCCACTGTTTTCACAAACGCCAACTTTCTCATTTAAGCGCCCTCCCACTCTGAAGGACAAACTGGTGAGGAGCTACTTGCCCCCTCAAAAATCGACCGCCTTCTCCTTCAAAAAACCAGCCGGTACTTTAGCCGGATAGAGAGATATAGATGAACAAATAGATACTTTATTGATCCCCAGAGGAGAAATTCAGGTGTCCAGTAGCCGAAAAACCACATTCATCCACACAAACAAAACACCTAAATTGATCATTCTAAAAAGCTAACAATAGTTATAATTATAATAAGAAACAAATGAATTTCCCTTTATTTGGGATCAATAAAGTTTTCTGAATCTGAATCTTTCTCTCCATACACAGTGGCTACAGCTGCCCTGAGGCACACTGACAGAAGGGAGGCAACCAGTATGTGCCATCAGTCCCTCCAACCACCACTAGTCATTCACACACACACACACCAAACTCTTTCTAGGCAATGTGGGTGAAGTGTCTTGCCTAAGCACACGACAACAGTTTGGAATTCTACAGCCACAGCCATTACCAGAGGTCTCCCATCACCCCTGCGCAGCTTCAACGGTCTGAGAATCTGGCTTTTGCATGCAAGTATGGCCACACATGTAACATTTGTGTGGTGAAATAAAACAGTGCAGTCTGAAACAGACACAGACAAAGAGGATCTTGAACACCACCCTGGCCGTTTATTCACAAAATGGCAGTTAATTCAGACATAATAGATCCATGTTCAGACCAAACAAGAAACACAGATACAATATATATTGAAATTTACATCATCGAGAAAAGCCAAACCCAGGCGCCAGTTAGTTAAAACAACAGAGGCCTTGTGGAAGTCAGACTGTTCTTATTATTTTGTTTTGCGTATGTCCACCTGTGTAGGCCATGGGTCACTATTCACCATACAACAACAAACAAATGATGTGTCTTTTTTATTTATAACATGAGGAAAACCTATCTAAGATATGGCTATCTAACTGCAGCTTTATCTAAAAAAAGATAATTGGGCACTGTTCTAAACATTCATTCATTCATTTTCTACCCCTTTATCAATCAATTTCTGGATCGGGGATGGCAATCAGAGCTGCCACCCGATACTCATAGCACCAGTCCAGGAAGATGGCTGCGATTACACAACTTTGGTATATCCGCAGGAGCTTCGGGTAAAGTGGGGTTAAGTGTCTTGCCCAGGAACACAACAACAGCAGATATCAGTGGGGGTCTAATGGGGGGACATTCAGGCCCAAAGGCCAACGCTCTGCCAACTGAGCCACTGTCGCCCCACTGTCGTTAACTATACATTTAAAAAAATAATGGTGAGATGAATTGATTGTCAAAATAACTGTTCCTTTCAGATAGGTGTCATTATGTATTTTTGAAACTCTTTGTCAGTGCATAAACATTGTTTGTTTAATTGTATTATATATATCCACGGTTTGTTTCTCTCTTTTGTTTACTTCTAGGACTCCCAGATCGCACTTGTTTGTCACTGATAAACCACAGTTAAACATTTTTAAATAGTTATAATTATTGTATTCACATAGAAATCACTGATAATCACATAATAGTAATCAGTTTGCCATTGATGTAATCTCCGTAAATCCTGAACGTTATAATTTAGTTGTATTTACTTCCGTCTCTGCCCGGACACTTAATAAAGCGGCACTCACTTCCTACCTTCTCCGGTCCAAACTCTCGCGGGAACCTGCGTGACTTCCTCTTCGCTCGGAACACTCATCCAAGATGGTGGGTTTTGTTCTTCTTTCACTAAATCCTAAACCATCCGCGTCTATAAATCACATCTTACACAATTTTGCAATTTAACCATGAGCCTCTAACGTTCCGCTATCGTAAAATGTTGACATTGAAAAGAATGCGGGTTTAAATGTGATAAAACATTGCTTGTTTGTATGTATCTAACACCCGTCCTCACATTTCCTTTTTTTTTTAAAGCCGCTTAATTTTATTACAAAGCGGCTGCAATGTGTCTGCTTACCTCGTGAATATTGGGGATATTGAGAAATGTTGATGTGAAGTCAAAATGCGAACTAACTCCTTAAATAGGTATTGCTCCTTGAGCTATTGCTGAAGTCTCAATTCCAATTGTTAAATTGATATGCTTTATACAACTTTAATACGCCTTACAGTTCCATACTTCGATCATACTGTATTTGCTCTGGTGATTGGATCTGTTGCAATTAATGTATACAATGTTGAGCAGATATGGTGTGCAGTCTTCACGGTATTACGATCATGCACGTGTTACATTCGATTTTGCAAAACAAGTAGTATACACTATCTAGTGTAATAACTAATTATTCTGGCTTGCTTGCAGTCAGCTTTGAATTAGTGTTATTGCTGTGTCTTCAGTCCTGTTATACCATTATAGAATCTCTTCAGTTTTTTTCTTGCTCTGGTCATCTATTCTGTATCTAGTTTCTGAGTTTGAGTCTTGGGTCTTCAATGTCCTCTGATAGTTAATGTTCGATTTTTCGTCATGTAATCTCCTGACATATCAAGTTAAAAATATTTCTGTCTCCCCAGTCTTTGGTCATCCCTGAGAAGTTCCAGCACATTCTTCGTGTCTTGAATACGAATATCGATGGACGGAGGAAGATCGCCTTCGCCATCACTGCCATTAAGGTTTGTACAGTCTTAACACATGTGACCTAAAGTGATTTACAGAAAACTTGATACACATAATTATCATAGCCGCTACTTTATTCTAGCAGTTTGAACCCTGGGGCTTAAACAGTGATATGTATTGTCATGGTGGTAGACTTGGGCAGAGTTAATGGACTGAATAAAGTGTTAACTATTGGACACTTGTTTTTTGCCAAAATAAAATGGTGAATGCGTTTTTGGCATGGAAGCAGACCGTAAAGCTGTGAAATACTTTGTCACCGCAGGATTTAATGACTAAGTTAAAAATCTTTTGCATCATTATTGTATCATCATTATTCATATGTGGTTTATATTCAAGTGCGGCCTATATGTGCACAACAATGATTGTAGTTTCAAATGTAGGTGTTAAAAAGAAAGTACAGTACTAAAAAATTCAGCTTCGGCACCATGGAAGTATCCAACCTAGCCATTTTCATGGTCTCGTACTGGTTCGAACTTAATTCCACAAAGAAAAAGCAAATATTAGTTACCTTAGCAACAGTGTTTACTTGAAACAGTTGGTATTTATCCTGAAGTTAAATTCATCAGGTTTGGCACCTAGTAAATGTGAGTGAAGGTAAAGACTTATGAGTCTGGTGGGAGGGAAAATGATTTCTCAAATCAGTTTGTTTCAATGGGATTTTTCAAAATTTAATTCACACAAATTTTAAAATCAATTTGGTCGGGGGCAGGGCTTGTAAAATGATTTTACTCATTCACTGTTGTTAAATGATTGCTGTTTGTTTTCAGGGAGTTGGCAGACGTTATGCTCATGTGGTCTTGAGGAAAGCAGACATCGACCTGAGCAAGAGGGCTGGCGAGCTCACAGACGACGAGGTGAGCAGTCAGGGGCCAAAAACAGATGTAACAAATGTGAGATGATGACGCTATAACGTGTGTTCAGGTGGAGCGTGTGGTGACCATCATGCAGAACCCACGGCAGTACAAGATCCCAGACTGGTTCCTGAACAGGCAGAAGGACGTGAAGGACGGCAAATACAGCCAGGTCTGACTACCTCATTATCACGTATCTGTACACAATACTGTGTACATGCTGAAGCATACCTTAAAATATAGCCAGCTCTGAACACTGCCTTTACCAGAAATTTAAAACCTCTGTTGCAATTTAATTCCAAATAGTTTTGATGAGTCTCAATCATTAAGATGGAGTTTCTAGATCAGTGAGATTTAGTGTTTGGAAGATAATGATGCCAGAGTGAAGTGACCGCTTCCAAAACTGCGGTTCACATGTTTTCCTGCGGTTGTCGGATTTGGAGCTTTCCTCACTGTCTCTTGTGTTCAGGTTCTGGCTAACGGTCTGGACAACAAACTGAGAGAGGATCTGGAGCGTCTGAAGAAGATCCGAGCTCACCGTGGTCTTCGTCACTTCTGGGGGTGAGGACACGTTACAAAATTGTATCTTAATACATTTAACGGATCAGCTGTATGTATTTGAACGCCACAAATGACGTAGAAATCACAATTTGAAAATCTGGATTATGTGGGATGAGGATTGCATTTTGAAATCCTCACTGTGGGATCCAACTTGTGCAGAGTGTTGATCAGAAGGAGAGGCTAGGAGTGCTCTTTGTGTAGTTTTTAAAGTGCTGTCCCAAAACTGAAGGATTCCCTCACTGACTCCAGCTAATGACTAGTTTGAGGAATGTTTCCAGTATGAAGACCTGTGTAGCTTCATTTGGCAGAATGTTCTATCCTTATACTTAAAGCTGGGGTTTCACTTCCATAAATGACACATGTAGTTTTGCAAAAGTAAATTGTGCACAAATTTGACCACAACATGCCATCTTCATTTTAGAAAACATGTTTTTGTGTGTGGAGCCTGGTTAGTCACTATTTGACTCGTCGGCCTTCAAGCTGAGTGAGGGTGGTCTGTTTATTCACTTTTCGGTCTGATAAATGCTGATCTAAAGATGATTCAGTTAGTGTCATTCTAAATTCGATCAAAGCTCCATTGTAGTGATTTGAAAGTTGTGTATCCCAGCTTTAACAGTCCTGTAATAATATTGTCCTCTTAATGATCACCTCCTCTTTTTCCAGCCTGCGTGTGCGTGGTCAGCACACTAAGACCACCGGCCGCCGCGGTCGCACTGTGGGAGTCTCCAAGAAGAAGTAAAGGTGTTTGAATAAAAAAATATAAACTCATAATGACTGGTCTCATCTGTAAAAATTGGATATTATAGCATGCTCATTTCAAAGCTTCTCAGGAATTCTTCAGTTGGTCAGTTTTCAATCGCATCTCCTTGATATATCTTAAATTATATCCAAACTATTGTCAAATAAAATGAGAGATTATGATTATAAAAGAACTGCTTTTATAAACTGCTGCACTCTGATGTTGGTCTAGTTTTGACCCCTGCTTATCTGGAAGGAAGTCATGTTAAACCCTACAGGATGATTCCCTCATGCACAATGGCTGTGTAACTACAACTGCTCTGGGTCAGAATGGCTGAACCATGCCTCTGACCCATCCTTCTGGACTGAAAACTGCTCTTTTCTTTCCCATCTGCATAGTTATAGTTTTATCTTTCACTCCATGAGCACGTGTGATACTGCACTCAACTTGTCAAATTATAGCCCATTTAGTCCATAGAAGTGATGTCTGCCCCTTTCTGAATCTGAGCTACCTGCTGACTTTTTAAACGGATTGATGTGAAACGCTAACTGTTCAGATTTCGCCGGTATTGTCATTTCAGATCTGAGAAAAAACCTTTTTCAACAATGGTAATCAGTTGCATAGAGCTATGTCCCCGATCCAAAATCTGACCATAATTATTTACTCGGTCGCTCTTGTGAATAGAAAATCCAGCTACACTCGCCACTTTCTTTGTTTTTGGGCCAAATAGTGTCATATTTACACCCAAAAACACATTTTCAACAAGTCACATGACGCTAAGTCACCGACAATAGCAGAAAAACAATATAGAAGCTAACGCAGTACATGGGACCACCATACACAGGGAAAGTGCCTGCTGTTACGTTTCTCCTGTCATCAGTGATGCTATATCGTTAAGTGAATCGTTTTGCTGCCTCTCAATGAAAAAGATTGCTCTCTTAAGTTAACTAAAGCTTGAGGGAATCAATGAAACTACTTTGGGACATGAGTATGAAGGCCAAACGGCACCGTAATGTTATTAAGAAGAGACCTTTTAAAGTACAATGATTAAATCTGGAGCTTCCATTATTAAAGTCGTGATCCAGGAAATCCAGTGAAACTTTGCCCTCCAGTGGTCACGGTTGTTACTTTATTACAGGTCCCATATTGTGCTTTGTGACCGCTCTCTGGTTTAAACATCATTACAGTGCTATTTGGCCTTCATATATGCAGTTTATATGTATAAATATATATGTAATTTTTTCCCTTGATTCCCACAAGCTTTAGTTGGTTAGCGATCTTTCTCTTTCATTCTCCAGAGGAAGAAGAACAACTCGTTTCCATTTTTTACGTAGCACACTTTCACATGCAGCTCCAGCTCCAGAAGCCTTCCTCCAGGAGGTGACAGGAAAGAGAAACCAAAACAGCGAATCAGCGTGGACAGTCTGAGTTCACTTCTATGCTGTTTTTTTTTTCTATTGACAGCGACTCTTCAGTGTTAACATCATAAGTAAGTCATCTTTATTTATATACCGCCTTTTCACTGCAGATCAAAGTCACCAAGCGATTTACAATTGTTATTTTTTGGGCATTTGTCTCTCACTCAACACAGAGATGGGAGCGAGGGCGCCACTACAGGAAGCGCATGCCAGACCTATTGTACATGTTTTTAGTGGTAGGGGAAACCGGAGTACCTGGAGGAAACCTACGCAGACACTGGGAACGGGGAGAACATGCAAACTCCACTCAGAAAGGACCTTCATGATGAGAAGTGAGAGTGCTATCCATTCAACTGCATAATGCAGCATTCGCCGCTGGGTAAACAGTTTGAACAAATAATTAAAAAACATTGGTACATAATCCAGTCGGACCCAGCTCTACAGAACCTATCGCTCACACCCAGAGTAGTGTACAGAAGGCTGCCCAACTTGGGTAACAAACTGGTGAGGGCCAACTTACCCACTCAGCCCCAACCTCACTTTCTCCAAAACATACCACATGGAAACTATAGATGTGGCAATTGCATGCAGTGCAACTTCACACAAAAAACGACAACTTTTCACCATCCAAGAACTGGTACATCCTTCAGAGTAAAAGGTACTATAAGCTGCAAGACGAACAATATAATCAAATAAATAAACATTAATCTACATGCTAGTTGGTAAAACAACTAGACCTTTGAAGACCATTCTGGTCAATTCTGAAATTCTGAACATCGGAGCAACATCTACAATCATGACTCAAAAAGCCCAGTGGCTGTTCACTTTACAGAAGCAAAACACAATGTGAGCACACTGAGGTACACAGGAATCGAACACATCAAACTCCCAACTCGAGGAGGAGACATTCATTCCCAGTTACTAAAACGCGAAGCTTTCTGGATATACACAGTAGACACATGGAGTTCAAAGGGTCTGAATGAAGATTTTGACCTGAGACCTTTTCTATTATCCTCTTATGTTTCTTTGTTAGATCTCAACTACAGTATTTGTGGCACATTGATGGCCTATCCTCATTGTAGTACTTTATAAATATATTATGTACTCATGTGATATTTGAAACATTTCCAATTATTTGTAAATTTTTGCTAAAAATGTGAATTTGTGAATATGTGAGTGTATATATCTATGCTATGGTATCTTGTCATCACATTTCCGGGGGGCTACACCTCATTGTTTACATTTCTTGATCGAGTGAGTCATGTGACCTGTCATTACTGTGTATACAGTATATACAGGTGTGTAGCCTGCTTTGCTTCATGTCTGATGAAGGGTAGTGACCCGAAACGTCACATTGTGTGGTGAGAATTAAAATCTCTTGGGAGCAAAAGCTGTGCAGAGTCATCTCCATGTTTTTCATTGATCTATTTCCAATTTTTTTGCACGCTGCTTAAAATTGGTTGTGCGCGTCAATCTCACTTTTGCTATCCATTCAGCCACCGTCAATTTTATTATGTGAATTTGACCTGAAGACGAAGAATGCACGGGTATAGCTGCACTTTCTACTCACGGGATCTGCCTTTGAAATCCGCAATGAATCTGCATTTCTGCAAGCCACTTCACCAAAGACTTCTTGTTTACCATGAAACTGAACTCAAAAGCTGATCTGAAAACTTGTGTTAGTCCCACAATAAAAGACACAAACGAGGAGCCTATCTGTAACTTCAATGCAACTAACTCACCGTGTACTACTGTTAAAGAAGCTAAACCCAATTTTTTTTTATTTTAAGTTGTATTATAATCTGTAATTTTTGAGCTCATTGATTCAGCTTGTGTATGAATTCAGGCCCTAAAAAGTGCTGAGTAGAGACTTAGGCCCTGTTTATACTGAGACGCTGCGCAGACGTTTCCAGGCTATTAACAGAAACGACCTGGCTCCTAATGCAAATTTCTCAGCGTTCACGAGGTTGAAAAACGATGTAGTTCTAGCGCCCGGCCAGTAGTGGGCAGAGAAACTTTACAACACGACACACGACCCCCAGCCCCCCTCCCGGCAGTATATTCACTTCCTGTGCCAGACCCTCAGAAGGTACCAACATCATCCTGCATTTTAACAGCAGCTGTGAACATGGGAACTGAACCTAGAGCTTCGTGTGGTCTCGTTTGGACGAAGGAGGAGCAGAATTATCCTCTGTCCCGCGCTGGAAGCCCATGAAGCTAGTTAGTGCGCGCGGCGCCATTGTTGTTTTTGTTTGTTCTCCGCTACTGCGCATGTCCAAATTTACGTGCGGGTAGCAGCGCGGAGGTGGGGGTCAGAGCAGAGGGGGATTTCCCACCTTTTCCCTTACGCGGGTGTGAAAGAGAGCCCCGCTGTGCAGCGTTTCTGAGTTGTCCCACTCTGCAGGCTGGATCTGAACACTTACGTTTTGACCCCCCTGGAACACAGTCTCCGTATGAACGGTTGGTAGCAACCGACATCCAACTATACCGTTTTACTGCCACATTGTCTCCGTGTTAACTCAGCCTTAGGCCCCGTCCCAATTCTCATCCTTGCCCTTAGGTGTAAGTGCCCTCACCAGAAAAGTGCCTTCCCAGTGGTCTTTCGGGGCAACACGGAGACGCTGATGCATGCTTTGCCCTACCCTGCTCTCTGGTCTTCCCAAAAAGAACATTGCAGGTTTACAATTACTTCAAAACTCGGCCGCACGTGTCCTGACTAAGACCAGGGGGCGGGACCACATTACACCGGTTTTAAAATCACTGCATTGGCTCCCCGTGTGTTTCAGGATCGATTTTAAGGTTCTTTTAATGGTTTTTAAATGTCTTAATGGTCTTGGTCCTTCTTATCTTTCAGAGCTGCTTTTTGTTGCGTCCCTGAACGCAGCGCGCTGCAGGCAGAGGATTGGCGCGACACAATCGGTGACGCGCAGTGCACCTGATGGAGATGCTCAAAAGACCCAGCCCACAAGCGCGTGCATGTGTGCGCGTTCCAGAGACTCAAGTTTTACACTGTCTTCCCTACCCCTTTTTTCCCTTATTTTATTTTTGTGAAACAATAAATGAACGTAAATGTAGTCACTGCTACTGAAGTTATTTCCACACTCATTACAAAGTGGTGCCGAAAACCCGGGATTCAGGAGAAAGACGAAGAAAAGGTATCGGTGTGGACAAACACAGAGAAGTCATGGCAGAAGGTACAGCAATTTCACGTCTGAGAAGAATAAGGGGAGCGGTACGAAGTTCAGCCACAAAGTTAATACAGAAGATTGATGGTGAACTAAGAAAGGATCCGTCAGATCTTTATGTCTTGGAAGAATATATGGAACAGTTGAATGTGAAAGAACAAACATTGAATTAAAGCCGCAAGCGGCGTCGAACGGCCCTCGCCGCACCGCGCAACTCCCCGCACCGCGCGCACCACCCCGTTCCACGCCGCCCCGCACCAAGCCACCCCGCACCACGCCGCCCTGCACCATGCTGTCCCGCCTCACGCCGCCCCGCATCAAGCCGCAATGCGCCGCTCCACAACGCCCCGCACTACGCCGTACTACACCGTACCACGCAGCACCGCTCAAAGGAGGT